GCCATGTGGGTCTTCTCCGGGCCGGGGATCAAACTCATGTCAAAGTGGCTTTAGCTTCTTAGTGCTGCGCTTTAACCTGCTGCACCACCAGGGAGGACCTCAAGTAACTTTTTAAAGTAATTTTTTTAACTTTCATTTTTATTTGTGTTTTACATTTTACTTTTACTTGATGTAGAAAAATATTCATATAAAACATAAAAGCTGTATTTTCTTGGTTACACAAATTAGTATCTTTAAATAGTATTTTTCCCCTTTTTCCCTCCAGGTTGGTTAAAATGCTTGTAAAAGCCACTAAGAAAAATTTTGACTTAATTTTGATGTGTTTCTTTTTCTTTCCTGTGTTTAGCTCCATCTTGTTAGTTTTTTCAATTGTCCATGAATTCCCTGAAAATAACCCCAATAAGCCCTTATTGCAGAAATAACTGGAATTGGCATTAAAGCATGATGGTATCTTTTATCTGTTTTGCCTTGTCCTCTATTTCATGTCAGATTTTGAGGTTTTTCAAGGCAGCTTTTGAATATTTTTAGGAATTTATATTTGACTTTTTTCTGCTGTGATGAGGACATACAGAAACTCAGGAACCGTGGGTTTTTTGGAATGTGTCCTCCAGACGTTTCCTAATCTTGGACTAGTAATGGCAGCTGGTATAATGTTCTGAAGGCTTAACACATTGTTTTATTTTATTTATTTAGTTATCTGAAGGCCCAAAGGGGGTGTGGGTGTGTGTGTGTGTGTGTGTGTGTGTGTGTGTGTGTGAATCCTTATACAAAAGAGCTCTGTATAACAGTTATTTTCATGTTTCATGTGGCTTGCAAAAGCTAATACTTGGCTTCACTTGATGTGAATTATTGACCTTATATAGTTATTACAATTTTATTTTGTACATATTTATACAAAATGCCTATACTAATCCTTCTCTGTTTACCAGACTTCTGATAAGATGAGGGGTGAGAGAAAGAGGGAGAAGATTGTTTTCTAAACTTTCCGTAACCCTTTTCCACTTCATCAGTTTACTTGCTCCCAAGTCAGTAGCTGTTTAAGTGTGCTTTTCAGTGGCAATAAGTGCATTTACATTTTGCAGCCATCTCTGCCATTCATTTCCAGAACTTTATTACCCATTAAACAAGTCCCTACTTTCCCCTCTTTTCTTTTTTCTTTTCTTTTTTTAAAAGATTTATTTATTTATGCATACAGAAGTGGGCTACAAGCCAGAGGTGCAGAGGCAGTGAGAGGAGTCACCTGAGACAGAGTGGGAAGAAGAACAGGCAGACGGACGAAGTACAGTGCTGAGGGGAGCAGCAGGCGTGTCGGGAGAGTTCTACCATGCCATGTGGTCACCTCCGGGGTTGGGGATCGAACTCACACTGAGGTGGCTACGACCAGCCTACAGTACTGCACCCCATGGAGGGCCCTCCCCTCTTTTCTGCCACTGGCTACCATCATTCTACTCTATCTCTATGAATTTATGATTACTGTAGGTAGAATATTTTTAATAAAATTCCACTGAAGCAGTTTTATATAGATTGGTCATCTTAATTTCAAATCACTGCAGGTAATAATTTTCTGTCATTTTTTAAAAATCACATAGACATGTTTCCACATGGTTCAGTAGCCCCTGTGCTTAAAAGTTTTACATTTGTTTTTGCAGAATACACAAGCATTTACCGAGGTGTTCCAGAATGCCAACTTTCGGTCTTTCATATTCCGGATCAGGGTCAAACTTGAGACCTACAATGTAAGTAAGGACACCCACACAGCAAGGTGGTAGTTGGACGGTTTGTCGCCAGCAGCCACCTTACAGTGTCAGCTGTCAGCTCACTGCTTCCCGTGTGCCAGACCCAATGCTAAGCACCTGTGTTTATTACTCACTGACCCTTCCCTGCCCCTTCTCTCTGGTTCAGATGAGGAAACTGACCTAGAATGACGTGTCTTGTCTAGTACCAGACATCCAGGCAGAGGGAAATGCTGTGTGACCTATTCATTTAAAACATGGGGTTTTGGTACTTGTATTGGCAAGAGTGATGTGTCTGGTGCAGTCACATCTTCCACTCAATTTGGATTCAGAAGTCTGTATAGGAAACACAGACCATGTGTGTTAAAATTACCTTGAAGATTCTGTTAGTTGCCCAGAGCATTATGTGTTGGATAGTCATAGTAAGACAGCATTTAGTTACTGCAAGTTTTTGGCCTAATTCCCTTTATATATATTATCTTACTTGATCCCCACAGCAATCCTATATGTATACATTACCATTGGCTCATTTTACTGATGAAAAAAATTTATTCTGAGAACAAGTACCTTGCCTAAAGTTACTTCAGGGGTGCTTGCCAGTGGCAGAGTGAAGATTCCAGCCCACCCAGTCCACTTCAGAGCTTTGCTCTTAACCACACTTATGAATGTGACTGTATTTGGTGATAACTGAGCGCAGTAAGAGCTGCGCTCTTGGGTATCACCCCACCCGTCCCGTATCTGCAAGCACATCCATCCCTAGACAGACATGTATGAATGGGGAGGAAGAATTCTGAAAGTGGCCTCGCTCGTTGCAGGGTTTACTCATTCTGTTTTATTGTCAGGCCTTAACTTAGTACTTGCTAGTAGGTATGTTTGTGAGCATTGAATGAGTGAGGGCATTAGACGTCTGTGACAGGACGCGAGCAGGGCAGCGTCAGGGAGGAATCTGAACAGCCTCTCTCCTCATGGTATGGACAGGGGAGGTGACATGCAGAGAGACTGCCCCCCAGAGTTGAGAGGGAACCCACCCCTTGTCTTCTGCCACGGGTGACTTCTCTCATACCACATTCAGCTTTTCATGAAAGTTTCCAGAACCAGCATGTGATTATAGGCACAGTTATCCTCTCTGGGCTTCTATCTGACCTTCCAGAGAAAGAAGTAATTGAGCTTGAGACGCTGTCTCAGGTTGACCCTATTTGGATTCTGTCAATAACTTTTCCTTTGTGTGGGAGCATAAGGAAAGGGCCTCTGCTAAAGGGTGCTTCTGTCTATTTTTGTGGCCCCCAATTTTGGATTTGCTCTCATAGTTTTTTCTTTATTGGAGTGGCTGAGTATGGCTTGTGATGCTGGGATCATTGCAACCCTGAAAGCCCCGGGGTTGTCACCACTGCTACCTGCTTCACTCACAGCCTGCTTTTCTCTTCTCAAAGGATGAGTCTCGTATTAAGGCCACTGTGATGGAGGCGAAGCCTGTGGACTACAGAGAATATGGCCGAAGACTGATCGCCAACATCAGGAAAAACGCAGTAATGTGTTAGGCAGAAGTTTGAAAATAAAGAGCTGAAATGAAATTGATTTCTCTTCTCCCCGTGTGACAATTCCACATTAGCTACACAGCACATAGAGCCTCTTTGTGGTAGACTAAGCAATTTCCTCTTTTTGTGCATTTTGAAACCATTGGAAGGCCAAAGAAAATGTGCTCCGATGGCTGTGGTCTGAACCAACACACCCAGGGTGTCAGGGTGGGCAGGATAGTACGAGTCACTCCCTGTGTTCAGGCTTTTGTCATGTTTTTGTAAGATTTCATTATCTTGAAGCAGGAATTACGGCATAGGCAGTTGACCCTTAATCTGCTACAGTGAAATAAATTGCATAACTAAGGTTTCTACTTCTCCAGGGGTGACACCTTCACAATTTGGGATCCTTCTCAGGAGGGAGAACTGAGAAGTGCTTGTGTGGAACATGGGTGTTTTAGTAAGTGTCTCTTCCTAGAATTCAAAGGCTCTCTTCCTAGAGATGCCAGTTATATTAATGCTTGGAATGGTAGTAGGGTAGAATTATTAATCAAAGATTTCTCTCTCATATCTGAAGAATTCCTTCCTTTGGGGTTTAATAGACTGAGTCAGATGGGTCTGATGTTAATCAAAATTGTCTCTTCTGAGGAAGGCTGATAAGCATTGGCTTGCCGTCCCCGGGGGACATCCAGGCAACTACAAAGCGTTACTTTAGTTTTCTCTTCAATAGATGTTGTGTTTGTTTGGCAAATGCACACTTTCCCTACCTGTACATACTTCTTTTATTTATGTTTCCTTCCCTGAATAAAGCCATGTTAAATAGAAGAGATTTTGAAGGGAGAAGTTTTGTTTCCCTTGCTTTGTCTTAATAAACAATATATCCTCTGCTTGTGAATCCTACTTTCTTTGAATGCAAAAGGTTCTTGTAACTGGGAAGCAATTAATTAGCCTTCATAATAAATGTTCACTTGGGGGAGATGTTAACTCATTACAAACTCGAAGATTAGTCCAAGGCATGGAGATCATTCTTCCTAATGTTTGCAAGCCTGAAATACATCTTTAAAAGAATGAAAATACTGAGAACAAAAAGCCATTGTGCCCAAGAATGCTGATGATCCGGCACTCTGGGATTTTATTGATGTTTACACAGCAGTCTAACACCAACCAGGCTTTGAAGTGTGTGCAGACAGTGAGCTAGTAAGAAAACAGTAATTACGCTACTGGGCTTTTCCGTCAGCAAGCGCATGCTTGCTCTGTGTGTTCCTAATCATATTAATTATCTATCTGCTTGCTGCAACCCACCGCTTGACATTTGCGGCATTTCTCTCCAAGTATCCAGACAGAGTTGCAGTCAGCCTTCCGCTGTTGGACCTGGTTTTTAATTGGTGCAAGTGCAGCTTGGGGAAGAGGGCGTTGTGTCCAGGGTAGCCTGTCTGCTTCCTCTCTGCTGTCCTCATATGGGAGGAGCCGGGCAGGCTGCGCCCTTTCCTCCGAGCAGACATGGAGGGTCTTTTTCTCAGACCCATTGTTTGGATGTATTCTAGTCTTAGGTGTTCATTGAGCTGCACTTGATTCTCTGGCTGAGGCTTCAATGATTTTTATGGAAGCTCTTCTCTGTCTGACCTTGCTTATAAAGCACTGACTGGAAAATTATAGTCTTCAACACAATTGTGGGTTGGAAGTGGTGATCTAGCTTTCAGTCCAGTAACCAGTCTTTTCTGTCTACTACTCCCAGCATTCCCTCCTCTCCCACATCTGTCTACCCTGGGAAGAGGATCAACTGGATGCCCAGACACATCTCCAGAACTTTGTACTAGTCACCACGAGTTCTTAGGGATCACATGATGAAGTCAGCCATGTCTACATGGATGTGGCTAGAAATCTGTGGGGTGGGGGGTGGAAGGAATGGGTTTGGGGGGTGGGTGGGGAGGCCCCCACGGAGGATGTTTAGCAGATTTCCCTGCGAAAAGTCAGATCACCAGAAGAAGAGCATCAGAAATCGGCTCCACTGTTAGGCTTTTAGGAGATTCAGGTCCCTGAGGAGGGCCTAAATAGATTCTGGCCTACAGTTCTTCGAATTCTCTTGGATACTAGTTTACCTCGAAAGGCTCGTGTTCTGTTATCTTTCACTTGGAGATCAGTGTTTATTTTGCATACACCATGACATCAGTGTGAAGCAATTAGGGAAAAATCTAATCATTTTGCCTTTATTTTAAATGATTCTTGGGTTCCCTCCAGTCTCATTGTGAAGGGGTGGAAAGGGGGAGGAAAGGTAATAATCTGGTTTCTACCCATGTTTCCAGTGTTTTATGCTTCCCATTAAAGCCTTGCTAGTCTCTAGTGTACTGTTCTGACTTTTTTGAACTGCAGGGTCAAAAGTTTTCCCCTCCCCCACTTGTTTCCCTGAGTGGCCTGTCTTCAAAAAGTATAAATAATATTGATTGTGGTATTTAATACACTAATGAAACCCATGGTTATTGACTACATAATTAATACACTGTCTAAAGTGAAGTTTGGCAACCCAGTGTATAAAGGTTTATATTGACTTGTGTTTCTTTGGCAATGTGCCTTTCAGGTTTTATTTATAGAAAATGAAACAGGTTGTTTAGTCTCCTTTCACTTGTTAGAAGGCTGCTACTCCCATAGTTAATTGCTCCTTGCTCCCAAAAAGGTTTTTTAAAAAAAAAAAAAAAGATTTGTTTATGCATACAGAACTGGGGTACAGGCCAGAGGTACTAGGGGTGAGAGGATTCATCAAAGAGTGGGGAGCAGAGCAGGCAAATGTACTGAAATGTACTGCTGAGGGGAGCAGTGGGTGAGACAGGAGAGGTCTGCTGTGCCATGTTGGTCAGTCCCTGGCCGGGGATCAAACTCATGCTGCAGTGGCTGTGTTAGCTTCATAGTGCTGTGTTTTAACCCATTGCACCACCAGGGAGGGGGCCCCAGTCTCCCTATCTTTGCCCACAGGTCTGCTTGGGTCTGCCTTGTGATTAGGCAATGGAGCCTAAACATCTTGATCTCTATAGCTGGGTTAATGGTTGTTAATTCCCTCTACCCCCACCTCCTTGTATAGTCAGGTTTTAGTCTTGTGATGTTTCCTTTAGGTTTTCTATTCTTTCTTTCATCAGGATTCACCAGAGGCAGTGGGGAGCAGAGGCAGATTGACTGAAATACACTTCTGAAGGGAGCAGCAGCAAAGACGAGAGGTCTGCTGTGCCATTTGGGTCAGCTCCCTGGCTGGGGATCAAACGCAGACCACAGCGGTGATAGCACTGAGACTTAGCCCCTAGGCCACCAGGGGAAGACTCTTACAACAGTGTGTTTTATTGTGAACCTGTTAAATTTTGTTAGTGTCTTAAAAAGACATGGAAGAGAATAGGAACTGTTAAGACCATTTCTTACACAAAGAATCCTTGATCATAGAAAAATAACCTGCAGAAAAGAAGCAAAATTAGCCACAGTCCCACCAGTCAGCAATAACCGACTTTTTCTATGCCTATATGCATAGAAATGTTTCAATAAAAGGTGGGATTATGCTATGCAAACCATGTATAACACTTCCAGCACTTGGGGTGGACAGCTCCATCAATAAAAACAGATCTGTGTGATTGTCATTGGTATTTGGCTGATTGGGTGTGTAAGTGTATTGAGCCGGTTGACTTTTGGGGTATTTCACACTTTCTGATTGCTATAAATTCAGCTTTGGATGAGCAGGAACACCTGCCCTGTGGTGGCGTGAAGACGCATGCCTTTTGTTCTGTTAGGGTCTGATTGTTTACCCTTCGCCTTGGTCCAGTGATGACTCTGCTAACTCTGTGTGCCATCAGGCCGGCAGCCAAGCTAAGCAGGCGCTACAGTCCTCTGGAGCACAAGCAGGCAGATTAATGTACGGAGGACAGGGGAAAGCAACCTTGGAAACCGTGGGTGGTTCGTGCCACCTATCACCAGGATGGAGCTTTGACAGTGAAGTGACCTAAACACTTTTGGTTTCTGCTAGTGTGGCAGAAATGGCCTCTGACTGTCAGCTTTATAAGTCAACCTGATTTTTTTGTCCAAAGCTATGAATGGTTATTAAATCTCATTAAATCTGATAATGGGTTTAAGTTGTAGAGAGAAGTGTATAGCATTTATTTTCATTGTCCACCTGTTTTATCCTCTTAAATAATTTAAATGTTTTTAAATCTTTTTTTAAAGATTTATATATGCAGACAGAACTGGGGTACAGGCCACAGGTGAAGGGTGAGAGGATTCTTCAGAGACAGTGGGGAGCAAAACAGGCAGATTGACAAAGTACACTGCTGAGGAGAGCAGCAGTTGAGACAGGGGAGGTCTGCTGTGTCATGTGGGTCAGCTTCCTGGCTGGGGATCAAACTTGTTCTGCAGTGGCTGCCATAGTGATAGTGCTGTGCTTTAACCTTTCTGCCACCAAGGAGAGCCCTAAAATTTTTAAGAGAACTGGAGGTAAAAGGGGTGAGAGCATTAACCAGAGATAGAGTAGGGAGCAGAGCAGGCAGATCTGAGATATACTGCTGATAGAACTCATGCCGTAGAATTCATTTCACAATGCTTGATAGTGTTGAGATTTTATTCCCTATACTACCAGGGAGGCCCTTCAGAATTAATGTTAATTGTGGCTTAATTTATATTGTACATACTTAATTTTTTTTTTTTTGGTTAAAGATTTTATTTATGCATACAAGAGCTTGGGTGCAGGCCAGAAGTGTGGGGGTATGAGGATTCACTTGAGACAGTGGGGAGTAGAACAGGCAGATGTACTGAAATACACTGCTGAGGGGAACAGTGGGCTAGACAGGAGAGGTCTGCTGTGCCATGTGGGTCACCTCTGTGGCTGAGGAGCGAATTCATGCTGCAGTGGCTGGTGGTAGCTTCATAGTGGTATGCTTTAACCTGTTGTGCCACCAGGGAGGGTCCCCTTAAGTGATTTCAAATCAAGATATGTCATCCCCAAGCACAGTTACCTTGTTGGAGCAAGGCTTTGGGAATAAGTAGTAATAGCACCAGTCAAATTAAAATTCAACAAATGGAGAAAGATCACTGGAAATGAGTCATCAGGAAGGCTTTCACAAAGAATCCAGTGATTCGACACTCGTTAGTTACGGCTTTCATTTAGTTCAAAGACTGTCTGATCTGTATGGAAGAATGCATGCAGCCCCTTAGAATAATCATTCATAAATGAATGATGACAGATGAAGCTATTAGATGCCTTGAACTATTAGGTAGATGGCACCCAAAGAGACTGGATTCCCTGGGTGAATAATGCCTCATCATGGTGGGTTATCTGTTGCAGATCCCCGACTCTTCCGTTGGGGCTGACGGAAGAGTTTGCAACTTGCTAGTGAATTTGCAGGTGTACTTCAGACTTTGACTCTGCCAGGAGGCCTTTTCTTCACAATCTTTCAGCCTTGCTGGGCTCTGTCTCTGCCTCTTTGTGCCCCCAGCTCCCCTCGACCCCACCCATTGACAAATTTCAAAATGTGTCATTTTCCAGAAAACCATTTTTCAGCCTTGATTATAGACTATGTGACAAACTATCCCACCTGCCTCCTAAGAAACATTTATATTCAATTTCAAAGTAATCATGTAAACTTTTAATAATTGTGAGTCATTTCTATAAAATCATCGCTTCTCCCTAGTGTATCCCCCAGCTGGTAATTGGAAGCTTGTGCTGTCATTAAAAATGACAGCTTCCTCAGATAACATTCTTGGTGCTTGTAAAATTCAGGTAGCTCAGCCTATATTTAACTTGTGTGTGGTACAGCTTCCTTTCAATGGTTAGGTAACCACCTGGGTGCCTGGTGAAGCGGGAGAGTTCACTGCAGGGAGCAGCTTCTCTGTGCTCACCAATGTCCTGCCCGAAACAACTGGG